ATATTGGGGGCAGACAGTCAGAAAAGAACATTAAAACATATATGGGAGAAGAAGGTTTTAGAGTACACTCTCGCCTGGATCCCTTTACATACCATGCGGGATTACAGACCTGTCAAGTCGGGGAAAGTGATATCTTATGTGGTTAAATGCTGGATGTAATTCATTTCCACTCAGTCTTATGAATTACGCATCACACACGGTATGAAGGGATTCGGGACGTGGGGTTCAGATTTTACCGGGTCACGACGAAAATGAACAAGATGAAAAATAAAACACGACAGAATCTCCAACTGTCGTTGAATATTGTAGTCTGAAAATGATTGATGTTCTGGACAAACTATTATGCATTTGTTTTTTTAAAACAATTTTTTTTTATTCATCCCTTTCTACAAGGAACCTTAAATGTGGAATTGATGAAGTTGGATTTTATTGCAAGCGTATTCTGAAACGTACTTCTTAAATTTACAAAAAAATCTGAATGCGAATAGAAAGTCCTCTTGAAATAATAAAGTATTTCAATCCTCGCACTAATCTGAATCCTGTGACATGCCTTTCTTAGGCATATAATATTTTCGAGGTATCAAGACGAAGTGTGTGTCAAACTCTTTGAACAGTCGCCGATATAGGGGTACAAAGTTGTTGATTTCTTTGTATTGGTTTTATGGGCAGTGATACCTCTAAATATTGAGGGAACATTTTCGTTTTCTCGATAGATATCGCAGACACAACGCCGATAATCTAAGCAAAAGAATTCAGGGATTGCCAGCGAAACTACTATGTGCTTTACGCTATGAAGCGATGATTAAAAAGAAAGATGAAGATAAAACAAGAACGAGAATGAGGATGAAGAGGAAGATGGACGGGATGAGGGAGATAAGCGGGAGAGAGAGAGAGAGAGAGAGAGAGAGAGAGAGAGAGAGAGAAAAGAGAAGGAATTAAAGGTAAAGACCAGTATTGGAATCGCCACAATTTCAAAAAATGAAATGGAAGCTCTTATTACCAATCATGTGAAAGAATATGTTTTGACTAATACATGATGATAATATTTTTGCCGAGAAACCGCCTACTAATTGATATATTTGGTAAATTAGTTTATCTACATGGTCTGTGAGAGATAAACGCACGTGTCGCGCACGTGTGCGTATAGTCCCATATACATCTTTCTGTGTACAGTGCTTGTAACTTTACGAAGACTGGGTCATATTTCTTATCATTTTGATGATTCCAGAACCTTGCAGTACACACCAATACTTATATGCTAGATGATCAACCTTTTCTGATCGATTCCACAACGTTTTATTCACAGTGCAATCGCATGACCATAACTGGTCTTTACCTTTATTTAAAGGAAAAACAAAACTTCTCTTTGTTAACTTCATATGTAATATGCACATTTCTAGGGTTTGCAATCGGAGGATTGCAGTTTTAACAAGCGAGAATAAAAGAGATACTTATAAGAAAAAAATCAAACATGAGCCTTCTTTGATTGTGCGTTCAACATTGTTTAGAAAAATCTATAGATAGACACCATTCACTCAGAGAAGGACTTAGATGAGGTTCTATCTTTGTGTCAGACATCTTTGGATACCGTTCTAAAAGCATGCATTCTCCGATTACATGAAGAAAAAGGGTTACTTCTCACTGCGGCAACAGTCTGATTGATCGGAAAGTAGATAAGGTTGCGTTCTGGCAAAAGCGACAAAGTAAATACTGTATAAACCTTCTCTTTCTAATGATATCATATTGGCTTATATTACATGAGGAATGTGAAAGAAATACTTTTAAAATACCCTAATACTCCAAATTTCCATAAATAGATTTTAAATTTCGACAATATTTTTATTCGACTGATGTAAAGAAGATAGAGTGAAATGGAGAGATGTTGCAATCAACCTCCGAACCGGGAGAAGATACTTAGATAGATAGATGTAAAGTTCCATGCAAACTATGTAATCTGTATTACATTAACACCAAGTGTTCTTTTCGTTTCAGACAATATGATATTATCTTTAAACTATAATGTGCATGTTTAATTTCAAGAAAAAAAACACGAATTTATAAAAGCAACTACTTTTGACAAATCGAATTCAGGCAATTTCAATAGCCTTATGCGTCACGTATTGGGATGTGCGAACATGTCAATGACATATTGCATAACAGTGTCGTGGTCGAGTGGTTGAAGGTGCTTGACCGGAGATGCGAAGGTCGAGGGTTCGAATCCCGACACGGCACCAATTTCCTTTGGCAAGATAATTACTTGCACTTGCTACTCTCCACCAAGGTGTTAAATGGGTACCCGGTAGGATGCGAACGTTCATGTGGTTGGATGAGCAAGTGTGCGCATGTAAATGCGACTGGCTGGAAGGCTCCCCAGGGAGTGGAGATTGTGCATACAATGTGTGCGGGTAAGCCTGTATCCTATGACCGGGGTAATAATATATATCTTAAGCGCTCAGGCACATCGTTGTATCGATGTATTGGGCGCTATATAAAAGCGGAATATTATTATTATTATTTCTACAGGACATACAATAAGATAAAGAAATTGCCCCGATTCGATTTATCAACATTAGTTTCGATATTGTTCTAATTAACTGATTAAAGAAATCACAGAAATCAACGAATAGGGTCAAATAAGGTCGCCTCGTGATCTCAGTTTTCAACACAGATAAAGGAGAAAGAAAGCAGAGAGTATAGTGTAAACCCCAAAATACACCAAAATATTTTCTTCTCTTTTGGTGGCAGTAAGAACGTTCCTTGTGGCACCACCACGCCAAGATAAGATGTGGCTGTGGTTTGGATGCCGTCAAGTAGCCGATTTTCAGGCCAACACAAGGTAGGTCACCTGCCCAGACTGTCCCGGACGACTCAGATCAAGTTTCGCTCATTTCAAATGCGCGCCATTTCTGTTTTTCTCCTCTCAACAGTGAAGAGTTAGATTAATTCTTTCCCCAGGGAGCACAAAAAGAGTTCCTGATAAGAAAGAAATGATCCCCAGATTAATGTGGTTAAAACACTCGAAAATTACGATTCGGGACAAATCTAAGTTTGGAATGTTACAATTCGATAATTTTCAAATAACCCCCTAAAAAAAGAATTAACATGGACATGAATGATTTATTCATTTATTTTTCTTCCAGATTTTCTTGTAAAAGCAAGATGGTCCAATTCAAAGCCATCGAGAGTGTATTTTTTTTTTTTTTTTTTACAAAGGAGCCTTGCTAGGGACATACAGTATTAAACAAAAATACATGGTAATGATAATAACGGCTTTTAAATGACACGAAATTTTGGTTACATATAATTTGATAATTCATTCGAAGCGAAGAACTGATTTGCATTTGCGGAGGACTGACTTTTCTTCTCGAGTTTCAACAGGTCGGAAAAGGAACTTGCATTTTATCTTAATTAAAGAAATGACAAATGAAACGTTTTATTTAAAGAAACTGAGAAACAGGGAAAGAGAGAGAGAGATATATAAATATATATATAGAGAGAGAGAGAGAGAGAGAGAGAGAGAGAGAGAGAGAGAGAGAGAGAGAGAGAGAGAGAAAGAGGTAGAGAGAGAAGAGAGAGAGAGAGAGAGAGAGAGAGAGAGGGAGAGAGAGGGAGAGGTAGAAGGAAACAGAGAGAAAGAGAGAGAGACAGATGTATAAAGTGGAAAGGGGAGAGAGGTGGAAAGAGGGATAGTAGATATAGAGAGAGACAGATAGAACATGTACAGAGGACTAGAGGAGAAAAGAGAGATCGAGAGAATATGATGATAAATTGGGCTCTACGGTGGTCAGAACAAAAGTGAGAAGTAGGGAGAAAATGAAAAATAAAGATTACGCATGTTAAGAGGAAAAGATAGGGAAGACTCGACTTGGAAATGGAGATTGATGAAAGCTAGCCCGCCTCTCCACTCAATCTACATTTCTTTCTGAGAGGGAACCGATAGAATTTTGATTACGGAATTCCACTGGGTAATTTTACAAATCGAGAAAGTCTAAGATTACCTATATTCATTAAACAGGCAGAAGAAAGAGAAGTAAAGAATGGTCGGGAGGATGCGACCGGGATGTTCTTTTAGCATCCATGGGTGATTGTACGATGAGAGAAACGAGGCAGAAGGAGCGTATACTCGTATACTTTCTCTGAAATCTATCCTCGGCTTGAAGTTTGGATGGGGAATGAATTTCATCTTTCATGTTGAGTCCGATATTTGGAGGCGGGGATTGATTGTATTTCTGCTAAAGGAAATGTCGGAAAAAGAGGAAATGTTAGTACGAGAGGTGCATATGACCGTATGGTGTAGAACGAAATAAAAATACCTCCGGAAAAATAAGTAATTGGGTTGTAATTAGGAAATTTGATCAGAAAGTACCTGTTCTATTTCCTGTTCATGTAAAAGCTGTCGGCAGGGCATTTGATATTGTGAAGGCATTACATGAATTTCCATTTTGCAATGCTTCAAAGAAAGGAAAGAGAACACAATGAGTATGAACAAAGAGATGAATACTACAACACAAAAAAGATGCCATGTCACTTTTAGTCAGATAATTAAAAAATAAGACTGGAAGATGAGAACTAGTCTACGTTGCTTCTATTTGATTGAAGCAACACACACACATTAATTCCTCGTAGTCATAAACATGAATATAAAACACACATTCTGATATGTGGACAATTACGCTCGGACAACTTGTCCCGGACAATGAACCTCTAAAAGCATCAAAAGGAACGATCAGTTTATTAACAACATACCATTTTTTGCAAGATAACTGTTATGAAAAATATACTATAATTTATCGGTCCGGGATTTTGAGGAAACCGATGGTAAAATCACCTTAAAATTTAAAATCAATTTCACGAGAACAATATTGTCAATATAAATCATAAAGGATATGGAAAAAAGGCAAGGGCATATTCGATTATGTTTAGTTTTTTATTTGTGAACCGAGTAACTGTGGGTCATTTTCTTAGTCGTTCAAACTCGTTATTTAGTGTTATCTATGAACACATCTCTTTTTTTCCCGCCATACTTCTCTCATCTCATATCTCCTGGCTCTCTCAGTGACCGACTTTTTGTCTCCGCTGGCGATTTAATTCATTCGCTGGAAGCAAAGTGGGGAATAATCAAATATAGTCAAAAACATTTTAACGAGCCCTTCTTGTGCAGCCCCGGTTTTATCAGAAGTTAATTTGGAAAATCCCCTTAGAACACAACCGAGAAAAAAGCCTTTCAAAACACACTAATTTTCCATTTGATTCAATTATCGAAACCATTCAAATTAAAAACGCCCCAAGATGTTTCTGGATGCCTTGCAAATTGAAAGGGTGAAAAAGGGAAAGGGTACATAAGGGCTTAGATTAGCTATGGAAGTGGAACCGGTGAATAAAGAGAGATAGAAAGAGAGTAAAAATAAAGATCGGAGTCACTAACTTAGTTATATCTTTATTTAGTTTACCGCTAAACACCCTGAATTAATTGGAAATAAATGAAGCCAATGAGAGGACAATTTGATTAAATTTATGCTCATTACTTGGAGGGAATATCGAATAGAGAATATTCTTTAATATTCCGTCATTTGAAATAAGTAAAGCTAAGAGTTTGTTAAATTCGTATTGTTTTCTCGCCACTTACTGATTCATATCCTGATACACTCGACTTCTTTCTCATAATGTCGTTATCATAGTTGTCGACAAATACGCCAACAGCGCTTCTTCGTCGTGAATTCCATGCCGTATGTGTACAAGAATAACAAAAGAAGCACAACTTGATAGATCATTCTTTTTGTAAAAATATAATTGTCCTGCGGTATGATAAAACAACAACGACATTTTGTAGTCGAGTGGTTTAAGCACTTGCCTTCAAATTCAAAGGCCCTGGTTTGATTCCCGACACTATTGCCTTTTGACAAGGTATTAATCTGTATTTGCCACTCCATACCCAGGAAAGAAATGTGGGCCTGGTAGGATGACGAAAGCATTCGCGTTAGTATGCCTATGCCCTCACGGTGACCATACGGAAGTTATACTCCCCAGGGAGTGGAGATGGTACACATTATGCGTGAATGAATCCGATGACCGAGGTAATAATATATGTAAAGCGCCTAAAGACAGTATTCCATATTAAGCGCTATATAGATCCAGAGTATTATGATATACATTCAAAATAACCACGCGACTTTAATGTCGAGTAATTTTATTTCATAGATATAAACCTCTTATCGGCGAAGTTAGCATCAAAGTTAGTATCTTCGATAACAATATGATAGTTGATCAATTTCTGACCACACACAGAATGAACAGGCCATTATATTTCCATGTAAATTAATATGTAGCTCTTTAAAAACACACTATGATGACGGTGATACATCCACAATGACATTCAAACAGCACTATACAAGAAAACAGGTTGAATGAGCTATAAGCAATCGAAGAAGAAAAATGTAATCATGACTATTCATTATTGTATTCATACACAAATACTATATGCGCATTATAATTGGTATATATCGCTTTGTATTTTTATTTTCATTCAAAATCCAACCCTTTGGTTGCAATACAGAAATCAATACATTTAATTAAAATGTAATTAATATTGCTTGTGAAATTGTAGGCATTTCTTCTAACGACTATAGTTCGAAATAAAAAATGAACACCTGTTCTTCAGAATCAATGACACTAATAATGATAATAATATCTCGCACATCCAACGGAGTGCTCACGGCGCCTACAAAGTACCCTCACTTTCAGTCAAGCTGCCCTATATCAGTTCCTACAAACATTCAGTCAAAATTTTGACCAACAATTTTGGATTCTTTGGCACGCAATCATTTTCGCAAAATACATTCACATCGTTATGCCGCAAAACTGTTATCGATTTGAAAAATGACAAAAAATGAAATAAGGCAAATGGACATTTACCCGCACTTTACAACCATTTCAATTTCGTTTAGTTTTATTTTCAATCACTAAACCTCATTTCTAGAGGAGGGGGCGAAACCTCTCACTCAACAACTGGAGCATGGCGATATGATATCGGTCAACGGAGCTGAGCACACTAGAGCTAGACGGGCATAGGTACGTAGGAGAGAAATAAAGAAAACTGCATATAATAAATATAATAACAAGGACAGGGGACGAAGCAGAGAGAGGGAGAGAGAATAATAATAATAATAATAGCTAGTTCTTATATAGCGCTTTTCAGGACCGAAGGCCCTCTCAAAGCGCTTTACAGATATATATATTATTACCCCGGTCATAGGATTCAAGCTTACCCGCACACAATGTATGCACATTAAAGAGAGAGAGAGAGAGAGAGAGAGTGAAAAAATAGAATAAAGAGAGAGAGAGAGAGGGAGAAAGTAGAGACGAGAGAGAGAGAGAGAGAGAGAGAGAGAGAGAAAGAGAGGGGAGGGAGAGAGGAGAGAGCGAGAGAGAGAGAGAGAGAGAGAGAGAGAGATGAAGTGAAAGAGAAAGAGAAAGAGGGAATGTATACTGAAAGACGAGGAATACCATACACGTGGACAAGGTTAAAAGGGTGAAAACAACCTGGATTGAAAGCAAGCTATAGCGGCCTTAGATCAAAGTGATCACATATGTTTCTAGCGCCATGTCCGTTCCACGGTGTCTGCATGATCGCATCACATGAGTAATAAGAATATATCGGTCGCAAGCTGAAGAGAAAACTGAGCAGGACATTCCACTTTAGTCTGTCATATTTTGTACTACTCTATTTAAAATCGAGTTATGACATTGAAATGAGCAACTACTAGATACCAAAGAGGGTGTAATATATATGGATAAAGTAGGGCAAGTCCAAGTTATGGCCAACATGTAACCAAGTATTATTAAATTGTATTCTGAAATCGTAAACATATATTGACCGGAAACATCATTTTATGTGCTGTGTTATTTGATTCAAACTCTATAGTATGGCTATCAGACAGACATACTGAAATCACCACATGTTTTTCATCGTATGTGTCAAAATAGTTTGCTATTTAGGGCAATGTTTCAGTTACACATTCGATCAACACGTGCATATTTGTAAAGGACGGCACATAGGCCTAGACATATCGTATGAAACTATTCATCACTTGTCGTCTTATGCTCATACCGTCATCGTGTTCATGCAGAAGATGATTAACTCATCATTTGTCGTCTTATGCACGCCCTTTGATCTTTGTTCAGTCCATTCATGCTGCAGGATTTTTTTTTTATTTAGGTTTTATTTCCACATTAACTGCATATGAAAAGAATTCACAGTGTAAGGCATATACAAGGTAACAAAACATGTACATAATATTCGATAGATACAACAGTAATACCAACGATTTAATGGCAAGTCATTAAATACAAATGATGCTAACAATAATCTGCAGTAATGAGGGGAAACCTTGAAAGCATTATGCTTTTAATATTAAAGGATTCACTCTTCCACAGGAAGAACTACAGAAGATGAAGAGGAATGCGCCATTCTGTACATGGAGTCATAGCCTTTACCCTAATGATAATATCCCGTATCCGGACACCCACCCCTGGACATCCACCACCAGATAACCACCCCCAGTCAACTACATATACCTCCTTGGACAACTACCCCCTAGGGCAACCACCCTCTAGGACGACTACCCCCCGGATAACCACCCCAAGTAAACTACCCCTAGGACAACCACCCCCAGTCAACTACCCCCTAGGACAACTACCCCCTAGGGCAACCACCCTCTAGGAAGACTACCCCAGGCCAAATACCCCCGGACAACAACCCCCATGATATTAATGATGATGGTGATGATAACAATTATTTTCCATTTCCAACATACATTTTTGCTGCTAGAAATAATGTCCCCTATTTGAAATTAAACAAAGTTAAACAAACAAAAATCAATAATAATACTTTAATATAGATCTCGTGAAATAAAGATTTTCAGTCTCGGGTTTTTAGATTGCACTTAGTCGATGTTTACGTAAGAAAAACCTCGATATTTCATTTCATAAAGAGTACTTCAACATGCTTGTTTGCCCTATAAAAAAACTTTTCATACAAATAAAAAATAAAAAACGGATAGTCCGATACAAATTTGTAGATGCATACGTCATGAACTCCATAAATACTTCATAGCCTAAATCTGGAGGATTTTTTCTTCACTTCCATGGATCTTTTTTCTTCCGGACTTGTTATACATCCTGCCGACAGTGTTGTGCGTGCGTCAGTGAATACCTAAACAAAACTAGTGGAAATGGAACACGATAGAATGCATATCTGAGCAATGGTCGTCTTTAAAGATAAAGTTGAGTTCTGGTCATGCGATTGTACAAGGGAGTTTACAGATCTGTAGCACATGGTACAAATGACCCCAAATATCCACAGATATTTTACACATGGAGAAGTTCCACTTTAAGCATCTTAGAATAATAACTGCCAAAGTCCTAGATGTGCTTCATGAATACCTTTTGTTTGCCCTCTTGAAAAGAATACTTTCACCTGCGTATTATAAAATGCAACGTTGGTGCATAAACGAATAATGTTTACGTTCACGAGCGCATATCCAGTATTCATCTCTGCGGGTTTTACTTTTTTGGTACAAATGACCTTTATCTGCCCATGCGCAGATTGTATCTGTATTGTAAAAGAAACGGTGTGGAATCGATCAGAAAAAGTTGATCATGTAGCATATTAGTATTGGTGTGTACTGAAAGGTTCTGGAATCATCAAAATGATAAGAAATTTGGCCCAGTCTTGGTAAAAGTAACCAGCACTATAAACAGAAAGATGTATATGGGACTACACAAACATGTGGCATAAAAATGACGTCCTCAATTTTAAGATGTTACATGTCATAGGCCCATCAAGAATAAAAAGGAATTTCAAGAGCCATGCTCTTCAGAGAACATTTTTTCTCTGATGTTCTTCCATACTTGCATACTAAACAATGCAACGCTCACAAATTATTTTCCACCTCTTCCCGGAACTCAACCTTCCCTTTAAAGGTGCAATGTTGACAAGGTCACGACCTTATACATCAGTCACATGACATGGTGAAACCATGGACCTACAAACCGACCCCAGAGCGACCGATGAATTCACTATGAATATGACGGACAAAGAAAGAGGACAAAATATACAGTTCCCGTTCTACCCTCAACAATTGCTGTGGCAGACAAAGGAACATCCCTTCACTGCTACTATGTAAAAATGTGTGGAACAGGTGAATATGGATATGACACATTACTGTTCTACACATTTTTACATAATAGAAGTGAGGGGAGGTTTTTTTGTCCTCTTTCTTTGCCGGTCATGTTCATAGTGGGATGGGGAGGGGGGGGGGGCTAACTTATAAAGGTATTCTCAGTGAGAACTCATTGGCCCGAATTCACAAAGCAAGGTTTGAGCTCAGAACAAGGTTTGACCTCAAACCTCCTTTTGTTTCGCCAAACCTCCTTTTGTTATTTACAAACCTTGTAAATAACAAAAGGAGGTTTGAGCTCAAACCTTGGTCTGAGCTCAAACCTTGCTTTGTGAATTCGGGCCATTAAGTTATATTTTCTTGCACTATCCATACATTTCATAGTGAAGGGGTCGTGGTAAAGTGGTTCATTCACTTGAATCTCAATCCAAGGGCTGAGGGTTCTAATCCCAGACAGACACTAACGTTTTGTGACAAGACA